TTGTCGTGTACCAGCTGAAGAGGAGGGGCATGTATAGTCTTGTTCGCTCTGCATACTGAAGTCTGTCAGGGTCTGGGTTTGGCACAGCGCCAGCCTGTTTTCCACCCACAGCTGCCGCTTCGCAGCTTCCCCAGTCGCTAGAACAAGGGCTGACGCCGCGCCAAACCCATTTCCTCCCCCCCCCCCCCCCTCCTAACACGCCTCAAAACCCGCAGCGAACAAGACTGTATTCAAGAACATGAGAGCCAAGAGAGTAAAACCAAAATGAGTACTTGTTTTCGCCTATAAAAAGAGCAAAAGGTAGTGGAAAATAGAAGAAAATTCCAAAATTCCCCAAAAATCGTTCATGGATAGAAGGTGACAACGAGAAATCCTGGACGAATTTAGACCTTGGATCGATTTCAAAAACTAGCAAACCTTAGATGGATTCCACGGTCATTTCAATGAAGGAGACGGCAGGAAAACAAGGAAAAGGAGGAAAACAAGAGGAAGAAAAAAAGGGAAAAAATCAGGGAAAAGAAGACAACCGCGATGTTGCGATAAATGCAACTATCGACCACTGAAGACTGGATGGAATTATTTGAGATCAAATTATGAACTGATCAGTAGCCGGCCAGATAAAGAAAAAGGCAGAATCAAAATGAATTTTTCAAGTCTGAATATCAGCAGAATACAGTAGTAGCGAATAGTGTAGTAATAATAGAATACAGTACCTGAAAGGGCATGCACACCGCAAAGAACGGACTGACAAAGCGTAATTATTGCACTACACGTTAGCATTCAGATTAATGGAAAGGGTTGAAAGGGCTGACCTGGAAGAAGTCTTTGAATGGCTGTTGTTCGAGAAGTTCTAATGTCGCTGGAAGGTCTTTGAAGAACTGTACGTGGTGGTCGAAATCTCGTTCCAAACGGATAAACGTTTGGCCGACCTGAACACTACATTATAAGTTGGGACAGCGGACAGGATACAGTACCCCAAACGGCGCGTCAAAAGACGGCGTAGAAGCAGCAACTGCACACAGCACTATTCGGTTTTCGCCCAAGCAGCCCCTGGCATCAGGTGGAAAGCGGAATTGGCGTCGTTCCCCAACCTCAATCTTGAGCTTCTTACCCCCTTCCCCCAATACCCTGTACCCCAGAAAAAAATAATACATCATTTATTCTACTCAATCCTCAAGTTGAAGGGATCCAGAGGACTTCGAAGTAGTTCGGCTTGGTTTCGCACCAGACTGAACTCAACTGGTGCTGTGCAGGCCACCTATCGCTACTTGCAACCAAAGTGACTTACTTCAACCAATTCGCAGTTATACAAAAGTTTACAGATCCCACCAAAATAAGACTATTTGGTGGAAAGGACTAAGCAAAAGGAACCTATAAAAGTGCAGTGTGCCCCTTTCAAGCCGAAAAGAACCTTTGAAGTTTCTATGAGGAAAAACATACCTTTCCTGGATCGTCTGAGTAATAATTGAGTCCCTTGAGCATGACACTGAAAGTATCTACCTTTTCACAGAAACGTGAGTATTAAACTGTGAAAGTAACAGGTGATAATATTGAGTTGTAATTAGTGATATCAACAATAATGCATCACTCAAGTACTAGAACAACGACTCAAGAACTGATCAGCGAGTTTTCCTCATATTCTTTTGGTGGAATTCAAATAAAGTAAATGTTACTAAAGTTAAGTAGATGTTACTGGCAAACCTCTCGTAAGCTTTTGACAATCAGTTGTTATCATTTAATATCTCTCGCTATCATTTACTACTATTACTATCTAATCAGGGCACGTCGTACTATGGGGATCCCAAGAAGAAGGCCCTATTTGGTCGCTGGAGGGAGGGAATCGTCTTGCCTTCGAGAAAAATGTTTCCGGTTTTGACTTTTCTCGGTTTTTCCCCGCTTCACGTGCACTATGTAATCCCATCCTTCCTCTGGACAGTAGTCCCTGCTCATGGGATGGGAAGAACCGGAAAGATTTCCTTTCCGGAAAACTGGAAAAAGCTGTGGGAAATGGGGTGAATTAAAGAAGCTGTAGGTAAAATGGGGAGGGGAGGGGGTCGAACCAGAGAAGCAAATTTTGGAATGTGACGTTATTCTGCAAAATTTGTACCCAACGGCAACACGTGCCCTGCTTACAGGAATCCCACTTTTCAAAATGGTCAGAACTAGTGGAAAGAAACCAGGAATAAAAGTTGGAAAACTTACTTTGCATGGAAATTGTATAATTCTGTGAGATTGAGAGCAAGTTTCTGTTTTTCTTTGGCGATAGCTGGTGGTATTTGAATATCATCGAGTATACGAATGTAATGATCGACGCAAGAGCGAAGTTCAGCGACAAATTCCTCTTCAGAACGAAGGAGATCGTGGTAGACTTGGCTGAAATGGAAGCGTTTAAATAACTGGAAATGGCTACTCTGAACAATTACAAGGAATGCTGTTCGGCTTGGGAGGTGTAAATTCCACCCGGCAGTTCCTTATGATATTTCAAGTTAACTAACAGATTTCATTTCGGTGAGACCTGCCAATTCGTGTGAAGTTGCAAACTGGTACAAGTAAGTCACTTTGGTTCATGTCTTTCACAAAACGGCCTGTAGCTGCTCCCTGAGAACTATTCGGTGCCCCCACCAAGCCAAATATTAACCACAAGAGATTTCTTTCAATATTTGTTATTTTGAGGAGCATATTTATGATAACAGCCGTAACGGGAGGTCCCTGACCCAGCGAAACTACCATTTTCAAATGTTTCCGGGGAGTTCACTACCCATACAGCTTTTCGACCACCACCTACTCACGTCTCTCATAGAAAAACTTCTTGACCCAATCTTGAAATGCCTCAAAATGATTTAATCGCTTCACTTATTGTTAGACATTCTTGTTTTCCCCGCAGGGGTTTTTGCCTTCAGATAATTTTGGCTTCCCGCCACTAGGCGCCCTAATCAGGAAACTTCACTGGAGGGAAGGCCGCAAACTAAGTTATGCCACTTTCCCCGAAACTTCCTCATATGGCACGACTCTACCCTTCATTTTTTTCCCACCGTTCCAACAAGGTTTCCCAGTTTTCTAAAAACTTCTCCAGTTCTACCGCTTAAGAATTGATGGTCGAACGTAGGAATATATAGCGCATATGAAACGGGAAAATTTGGAACAACTCAAGAACCGGAAAAAGTTACTGCGGGCCGGAAAAAATTCTCAATGCTAGATAGAACCCTCATTGACCAAATATGACCTCTTCCTCCCCAACCACCGAGAACGACCCCTTGATGAATTTGTCATTACGACCCCCATCCCTTCCCTCCAAACTTCCTGAGGTTTTCCTTCCCTAAATTCTCCAACTTCCAACTTTTTTACCATTTTCCCAGAATTTTTCACAGTTATCACAAAAAACGCAAAAGCACATCATTAGTAAGGGATATGTCGAGTCTCTTTTTTAAGGGCTGATATGACCCCCCCCACTCCCTGGATTTCTTCCCCCTTCATCGAGCTGTCGAGCGAGGGGGAGGGGGGTTGGTGTGTAGAGCGTGTGAACGGGAAAAACCACGAGGAAAATACGACCCCTCTCTACCTGATTTTCCCAAACTTCCTAGCAGTTTTCCCAAATTCCCCAGACATTTTCCTACTTCTACGGGGGGGGGGGGGGGGTAATACACATTAAACAGGAAAAACCACCGTTCACCACCAGGAACCAAAACCACAGTCAGCAACCTCCCTCAGAAGATCAGAAGGGAATACGACCCCCCCCCCTCTCTTTACAGTGCCCTGAAACAAGAAAAATTAACTATCAAGGAAATTTTTCTCGGCTCAGATACGACCCAGCAAACACAAACAGGAAAACTTGGAAAAATGCAAAAATCGGAAAAAAATTATCGCGAATAGGAAAACGTTCTGTCGAGCCGTATACGACCCAAATCGACCACATACGACTCTTTCCCCCCCACCTTCCCCCCCCCTCCCAAAAAAACCGAATGTCACCCAATGGTTGTCAAGCCAAAAAGGTAAGTGCATCATTATCTTTTGAAGTACTTTAGATCGACAAATCCCCCCAAAAGCGAGCCAGAGAGGCAGTTGAAAATCTGAGATTATTCGACGTAGAGACCGTGCTTCGAGCCCAGCGGAGGTTATGTTCGTGGCCTAACTACTGGGCAAGTCCCTGGAACCAGGAAATTCAAGAACTGACCCGGTCTTTGGGAATTCGCGTCGTGAACAGTCTGACTTCTCCCTTCGTTCGTCTTTTCGATTTGGTATGAACACCATCCTCCCCCTTTCCATTTTTTTATTACTTCAGTATTTCGAAACACCCCGATATCGTGCAGATGACAAGGCTCGTTCTGAAAATTTTTGCACGGTGCACACATGCTGGCCGGGTTTATCAACGCGAGCGTTTCCAGCCCCCTCACATCGCTCAGGCGATGTTTAAAGCGCAACAATTCATCACCAGTTGGACGTTCTTCACTGGCTTAAAGGGCCGTACAACTGATAAGAACCCTGAGAGCTTTTTCTAAGGTAACGGCATACCCTTTCTTTCCACGAGGGACATTGTTCAGAGCACTATCAAGGGAGCTCTGAATAGCGTCGATCTTGGAGCAATTGGCCCAGTTTAACACCAGGACATGTTTTTGCCCTTTTATTCTAGCACTTCAGTCCTACAGCGCTCAAGCTCTACCCAGTCCCTTCGGAAAAATTGCGGTGGCGGATCGAGTGGACATGGAGATTCCGTCAACAACATCGACTAAATAGAACAGCTGCTTCATGAGGTTAAAAAACGTCCGCCCGAGCGAATGAGCGCATCCGGAGACAAATTATTGACTTCTCGGAAGTTTACATTGTTTTCCAAAGACCATGGATTAATTGAGTCCTTCTGATCACATGTTTAGCTCAATGGGGAGGTCCTGAAGCACCACAGTACATAAGTAGCTCAAGCTGCTATACTGACATGATTGCATTGTTGAAGGAACTAGGCCTACAGATGGGACAAAAAGGCACCGGGATATGGAGAGTACGTCGCCGCGCGACATTTCTCAGCCAGTTAGTGCAGCGCATTCGTGTCATACAAATTGAGGATTTGGTGCGGATGGCGCTCACGCGATTCTACACGCAACGCTGGTTACGCCATGCTGGTACAACTCGGAACTTCTGACTAGCAACCGTTACTTTGAGTATATGGATCAAAACTGTACCACAGCGTGGGCTACTCATGCACAGTTACTGAAATTTCTGTACCACAGCGTGGGCTACTCATGCACAGTTACTGAATTTTATGCTGCAAGAAGTTCGAGAAAAAGGGTAATGTGACCTGTCAATAGGGTTCACACACGCAGCCATGCCCTCCTCAACTCCGGGATATGGAATGTACTTCGGCGCGCAAGCAGCTCTAGTTATAATAGTCATCACGATCAAAGGTTAGTTAAAATGATAAAAACCATCACTGTTTTGGTAAATAATAACCGTAGCATAATAATAATAGTAGTGATATTGATAAAAATGGGCTGATGAGCGTGATAATTGCAAATGATAACGTCCGCCAATTAAAAAAAGTCCAAGGTGAGAGTTCGTTCGTTATTCTACAGCAGTGGGGATCAATCGCGCGCGAGCTTCTCGTGAACAAATCCAATCGATAGTACTGATCGATTTTCCTTGCTTTATCCTCCTTCAGTTTCCCGTATCTCTTATAATCGACAGGAAGCTTATCAGATCAGCAAGACCCTGGCGAATTATTACTTGGCGGCCGGTCTATCGATGTGTAAACCGAGCCGACACTAAAACGTCCGTCATTCACCACCTGCATGAGGTTTCATGACTGCTCTCAGTGGCAACGCTTGGAGGAAGAGACTCAGAGAAATGTAAAAATTTCCGAGATGATCCGGAAATCAAAAAGAATCGCTGCAGCGAATTGCCGCTACAAAAATATCCACCGTGTGAAATATACAGGTCCACCATGGACAATCTAAGCGCTTGAGAATTCCAGCTTGTTTCCAAGACTTTACTGTCCCAGAGGCTTCCTAACAAAGATGCGCCAACCGGGCCTGCACCAACTGTCCCTAGCGCATCCTCAGATAGTACATCAGTTCGAGTGTGACCGGTAGGTGAACTCAATGTAAGGCTCCTGTCAATGCACATACTGTGTTCTCTGTCTACATTCTGAGGAGCAGGACGCAGTAACGCGAGGAAAATCCCACCAGAGGGGTCGCATCGGTCGCTAGGAAGATCATATTCGGTCGATGTGCGTCGTAACTGACTTGCTAGAAGTTTTCCGAAGCGCGATACCACATTTCCCAGTCGCTCACTTTTCGCAGTTTTTCCCGTTTCATGAGCTCTATATATATCCCTATTTTCAAAGATCCTCAAAAACTTACGGATACTCTCAGGGCGCATCGTTC